TGTAAGTTCGGTCAGGAATCAGAAGCGTGAAATTTTGCTGTACATCACTGAAATACGGGTTTAAAACAAATTTATAAGAAAGAAAACGAGATCAAGTACGAAGATTTGGGGTATGGTTATCGCCGACATTGGTACGCGGATCTAGTGCAAGAGATCCCAATATAAAACTGTCAGCTGACTCATTTGTCGCTTCATTTGTTGATAGCTTGGCAGTGGTAAACAGGAATGCAGTTGCTACCAAATGCAAGAGACGTTTTCAGTCCTTATGTAGTAGAGAAGCTAGAAATTCTTCCACTCGAGGTGTTAAATTTTGCACAAACGGTGGAAACAAGTATGTTAAACATAACTTTCCAAGACTTCCCGTCCAGTAGCAGAATGGCTTGGACATGGCTGAGTATTTATATTCAGACAGAGGAGGTAGAATTGAATTTATGGCCTGACTCGAAGGCCAGCCCACCGCAGCCAAGAGCAAAATTAATACCATGAAGACTGTCACTTATGCAGGTAGTCAAATTAACAAGATATTGTAGTCTTTTGAGCAAAAACATTTGCCACTATTTTTACAACCATATACTGTCTTAGTATTCAGCTTTGTGATTATCCACCCTGCACGATCACTCACCAAGGTAAAAATTGCGAGCGTGGTAACCACCTTGAACCAATACTACACACTAGCCGTGGTTTCTTCGGCACTATCTTTCAGTTCTACTTTCGACTAATGTCTTAAGCGCTCCAGTTATTTTGGCGAGGCCTGCATCTTCACTTGCTGAATATCTCAAAAATCAAATTGTACTCTGCAACCAGCCAACCCTCTATACGAAACAAAGCCCAACTCACTATAAATCAATTTGGGACGTTGCACAAAATCATTTTATTGTCCCCAATATTGCCTTCATTTCAGTAAAACACGAATTTGTTCTTTCGAGCACATCATTACCTACGCCCCTTAACTTGTTGCTGAGGGGTATGGCACTTTCCACTGTCGATTCATCTTGAGCGATGTGATGAAGTCGAGCCGCAAATTTCGACTTCGATACTTTGTGCTTCTTCTTGTAAATTACATAAATACTAGCAGCACCGCAGTCTTGCGTAAGAAGTAACTTTAGTGAAGGTCCGCAATTCTGTTCTATTTGGCTCACCCGATCAAGGGTCGGTGTGTTGTTGATGGGTGTTGATCGAGAGAGAATGCAACAGATGCCTGAATTAGTTTTTTAAAGGCAAGATACACCGCATACCTTGAGGAATAAGAGATTTTTCCGCCGCATGAAGGAATTCTAGCAAACTTTCTTCGGATGATTCACTAGGTTGATCGTAGCACATGAATGCACATCCTAGGAATGACAATCGTTCAGGTTAGAAAAACACAGAATACCCTCATTTAATTCAACCTGAAAGTGAACAGCCGGATAGAGCTCCTGAATGAGAGTTTTCAAATCATCTGCCAAAATATGTACATGCAGAAACTCCATAACAGCCTTGTGTAAGCAAGGGGGTACCCCGTAATAGATAAATTTGGCACCATCCTGACCCAAAACACCAGCAAACCGACGAGATACGTTAATCCAAACAAGGAGGAGAATCGACGACGGCTCTGAGAACACCTCGTCGCTGATGAATCTGTAGATCTCAGTATCAAGACATTGCGCTAAGAGGCGATTCTGTAATCTCCGCCTTTTAACCGACTCGGTGATTATAGCGTAGGAACCGA